AGATATACAGAAGCTTTGACAACAAGAACATTTAAAGCTATACACAATTAATCTACCATAGCGCGTACAGCACATATCAGCTGGGACCAGAAGGTATACAGAAGCTTTGACAACAAGAACATCAAAAGCTATACGCTATAAATCCACCATAGCGCGTACATAACATATCAGCTGGTACAAGACGGTATAGAGAGAGATTGAACGGCAGTCTAAGGATCTCGTGAGCAGATGCATGCTCAGCAACATCGTGTCGTACAATCTGGAAGATTGCTGAGACCAGAGATAGCATCCTTGGGCATGGCAAGGAGATTGGCTGTTGCATCAGATGACATTCTTGAGCCGACGCCACTAACGGTTCAGCTAAAGAAATGAAAACCGGTTGGATTGACCAATTATGTCAAAATAATATTTTGAAAATATAAAGGAGAGAGTACTTTTGGCTCGTTGGACAGCCGAAGGCAATGCCAACAAGACATCAAATGTCAGCAACAACGCTCGCACTTTTTGCCACAAACGAGGGCTAAAGGCCAGCAGATGGGCGAGATAAACTCAACTGCCGGGCAGGTTGAACACACTACACATGTAGGTGAATCTCCGAGATTGTTAAGCGAGCTCTGTTCGAGCACAAATTCGGACACATGACCGCCATTGTCGACCTGCTTATCCATCATCATCTCGGAGATGATCTTCCCAGCATCATCTACGTGAACATCACCGATAACAACACCCAAGATGAACAGGATAGCCAGAATGGAGGGTAACTTCATATGAGCTTAATGTGATGAAGATGGAATGCCTGAGCGCTTAAGAAATACTGACAATGCCAGCCTAGCATCGGCACGTGGCTCGAGTTGCCCCGCATTGTGCGGCCCACACAAATTATGCACGTGCCGAGGCATCTACTCTCACTGGTCAGTGAGTGAACGTCATTTCTAATCATAATGTAAGGAATTGTCAAGCTTTTGGTCAAGGTACTCTTGCTAGAAATGGAGATGAGGCTCCTCCTGAGACGAGGCTCTTCCTATGAAAATCGTAGCCCTATACCGTCACAAAGTAATTGCCCAAGGAATGTGTAACGCATTATGTGTTATTCCATTCAAGCTTCGCCGCATGTGTGGTGAATGTTTCAACACAAGTTTCATCGTGAATCCTCCAGCTACAGGGATTAGGGATTGGTGGCAATAACGATAGCTAATAATTAGTGGCAATGTTGCTTGCTGTCTGTGCCACAGACTCTGTGGCTGTCATGCACGAACGTCTCACGTGTGGCTGCGCACAATAGGTACACAACCCTCACTTGTATAACGAACAGACGGCAACGGCAGAACCACAAACACGAAATCTGATTTTGTGATTCTGATGAGCGCAATCGGCAAAACTTACGAAGTCTGTCCTATAAGGCCAGCCCAGCTGATGACGGAGCTCATTTGTCAGGCCCCTGGGAAAAGCAGTGGAGCTGTGAGACAGTCACAGTGTGAGTCCTATGATAGGACTCCTATCTTCGTATTGAGAAGGAAACTGATAGCGGTATG